ACAAATTATAAGCAAGATATACAAATCCTACTTCGGCTTAGTGGGCTGGTATCTACCTCGGCTCATCAAAAGGTTTTTCTTAGCATTCGATTCGAGCAGTGTAGACCGGTTTAACGTCTAAGGGCAGCTTCTTGAGTTCGCGTCTAAAAAACTAGAAAGCTGGTTTGAGTCCCAAGGCCTAAATCGGTTGCGATGTGAGGAAAGTTACTCCGGCTGAGCCCCTAGGGCGGCTTTCTGAGTTCGTTTTAGAACTAGAAAGCCGGCTTGGCCCCAAGGTCTTAGCTCCGTTGGAGACGAAGTACCTAGTTCGGTATATACAAGCTTGTTCGGAAATCTTATCTTGGCTAGAGTGGTTCGGGAAGAAACTACTGACCTTCCTACAAGTTCTAGTTCGGTTATTTGATACAGAAGTTCTACGTATTAGGGGCAAACAGAATCCTAGTACGTCGCAATGTGATTTTGGATCTAAGGCTTGTTTTTCTACATAACAGTTCATACACATACAAGTTTCTATTCATTTTTTTTTTTCATGAAAGTGCAGAGCAAAAACAAGGAATACACGGCATGCTTCACCCAGATTAGAAAAAACAGGAATTGAGAAAGGCAAAAAAAACAACAACAACAAGTTTTCTCAGAACTTACCAGTTTGGAGAAGAAGAGTTGAAGATCGAGAACAAGTGGCAGCAACGGAAAGCACGAACACAGTAACTCTAAGCTCAAGACTCGAGCAGCCAAAAAAAGCAGAGGAGAGAGTATGAAGGGTGGTAAAGTGAAGATACCCTAGCCTCAGGGTTCACTTTTGTTAGAGAGCCCAAAATTTGGGCGGGAATCGTCTCAGATCTCAAAGCACGAAGACGGCCGTGACAGCCGTCTTAGCCAATCAGAGCCTGCAACGTTGTCACTGGAATGGGGAAGCGTTACGACACAATGATTTAAGAGAACGTTTTGACCGGACATAGTGAACCCGAGGGTAAACTTAGTTCGGCTCGGAAAGGCTAAAAGGGTTTTTTAAAGGTCGGCTGAAAAAGCGTAACAAACTCTAGCTCGGCCAAAAGGCTGTGTTAATCCCAAGTCATGTTGAACAGATGGGAATTAAGGGGCAATTGAGAGGGCAATTTTTGGGAAAAACTGGCCGAGTGCGAGTTGGGCTTTCAGGCCCAGAAAAAGCGAAGGATTAAGTAAAAAAAGGCCGTAATGGTTACTCCGGCCTAGGAGAGACAGAGATTACTCCGGCCCAAAGGAGGTGGAATTACTTCGGCTACGAAGTAATAGAGTTACTTCGGCTAGAGGGATTGTAAAGTACTTCGGTTTGGGGAGCAACTTGGAGTTAGACCGGCCTTTAGAGGCATACCGCGTTTGAGAGTTTATGCGGTCGAGTCAGTGGTCGGTCCGAACATACCACGGTTCAGGTATTAGAGAACCGAGATATGATAGCATGAAGAAGAACCGAACAACTGTTAGTACGGCCTACTTGGGTGGCTCGGATAGCCATTTTTACTTCGGTCAAATAGAAGTTCGGCCATAAGAGAAACCATCCACTTGGTTTAAGCAGTGGGGGGGTGTGAAAGGATAAGCATTATCCTAGAGAGAATGAATCCTAGAGGGCTCTGCATGGAGAAATACAAGTCCTACTAGGATTGTTGCCATATGAAACATTTATAAAAGCTCACAATCATCACCTTGGAGGAGGTAATTGAACACAATCTTTCTGAGAACTTAGAGCTTTGTCTATTTGTCAAGTTTTCTGACTTAGGCATCGGAGAGGTTTCCGGCACACACCCGCCGGCTAGCTCACGTTTGTGTTTTCAGGTGACAAAGCGACGTCGTACGGAGAAGCGTGGACTTGGTCAACAGGATTATACGAGGAGAATTATTTCTTCCCCGTACAGGGACCCAAAAAAAAAATGTAATAATGAACCAATAAAATGGGATGGAGAGAGTATCAGTCAAAATTTGAATAAAAAAATTTCACCATATATATAAGCACACATGTACATATACAATAAGATATGTAAGTTTTTCATACACACACAAAAAATTAAATATTAGGGTTAATTACAAAAAATAAATTCTAAGATTTCACGCATTTTTCATTTTAAAACCCTTATTTTTCATTTTAAATTCGAAAACGATTCTCCATTATCTTACATAGGTGAAGATGGATGAAAGGGGCACATCGAAATATGGATAGAACTCTAGGATTTAATTTATTGAAATTGAAACATTGATATTTAAAATGAAAAACGTGTGAAATCTTGGAGTTATTTTTGTAATTAACCCTTTTTTTTCTTATGCTTTTTGATGTTCACAAACAGAACATCAATATGGAGTGTGAAAATAAGGTGGAAGTGAATTATAATGGTGCACGGGAAGAAGAAAGTAGTGATAAAGCAATTATTAATAAATAAATAAATAAAAGTAGTAAAAAAAAACCATTAAACAAGTCTCTCCCTTAGATATCATAGCAATGGTGTCTATTTTATATGTGGCCCATAACATTTCTTTGCAGTTTCTCAGTTATTTCTATACATTTTACTAGCAAATTCTTAAGTTCAAAGAAAAAAACTTATGTTTTCAGATAATTAACTGTAATAGAGGGAAAGTAGACATAATAATAGTTAAGATTTTTGTTACGTTAATGTAAATAAAAAAAAAATAGGGGTACTTACGTATAGATCCTAATAAGTGGACTTATTATCCAATAAGTCTTATGGGAAAAATTTATTATAAAAAAATGTTACTAATTGTATATTTTAGCAACAATTTATAAAAATCATGATAAAAAAAAGTCACTAATTGTCAATTTTTAGCGACGTATGTTAAAAATTATTATAAAAAAATTATTTTTAGCGACAATTTTATTAAGATTTATTTTCAATAGGACTTTATAATAATTAAGTCTAACTATTAGGACTTATTGGTAGTTTACCCAAAAATGTCTAATTATATTTTTGTTTTCAATTATGCTGATAAAGAATATTCAATTAATACTAATATTATTCATTTTTTTTTGTGTTGGTATAAATTAAATTTAAAATTTTACAATACTTTTTTTCGATGAAAATGTACATGTATTTATCCTTTTAAATTTAAATTTTGGATCTGTTCCTGATTAAAGATCCTGTTAAATAATTGGACCTTTTTACATTTTTGTTTGGTAAAAAAAAAAAGAAAAAGAAAAAGAAAATTGGAAGTTGATATGAAAATTTTGTTTAATAAACAGTTTTTGATAATTACTTTTGGGAATAATCCTTTTTTATAGTAAAATTAAAAGATCATTCCAATAAAAAAAATACGTAAACATTTACACTTTCTTATTTTGGAAATAAAAAATTATTTGATAAAAATTTGTGAATTTTGACACTTTTTTCCACAAAGATTAATACAAAATTAACCAAAGCAAATCAAATCAAGTCTTAAGTCTCATTACTCATTACCATAAGAAATTAACCACTAATTTTTATAGTTTAGTTTTGGTATCATTTTGATCTTTATAATTTTAATTAATTTAATTTTGAGCTTAAATTTTTTATTGTCTCAATCTAACCTAATTGACTGCAATCATTAGCCTCCTCCTCCTTCTCCTCCTCCTTCTTCTTCTTCTTCTTTTCTTTTCTTTGCCTGAGTTACATCTTTAAAAATAGTGGGGTTTGGTCAAAAACCCCTCATAATAAAACTTTAATGTATTAAAGACAAGCATAAAAAGTTTTCCTTGAAAAGTCCAATATATACTACTATTATCAAAATATTAAATTTTAAAATAATATAACTTTTTATATAGATATCGATTTTTAATAAAATTAGTATTTTTAAAATCCTCTCATCAAAATCTATAAAATAAGATCCATATTGACTATGAAATTCTTAAAAAAAAAAAATAATTATTACCGTTAAAATTGATGTAAATAGTAACAAAAACATGTTACATTGTTTGACAATAACATATTGTTCTGATTCACAATAACATATTACTTTGGCAATGCTATCCAAGAAAGAAAAAAAAGGTATTTTATTTTGTCTTTGTTCAATTATGTAATTTTTTCTTATAGAGTTTATAAAATAAAATAAATTGAGCCGTCATTTCCACAAAACAAGGGTCTAATGGAGAGGTTTTGCCTTAAATTTTCCTTAAAAATAAAATTACAAATTTTCTTAACTAAGTGAGTCAATCTCAATCATATAATTAATGATATTACTGAAAAAACACTAAATGACGTTATTAATTGAATCGAATTAATGCAAAATTTAAAATTAAATCAATTAAAAAATATGAAAATCAAAATGATATATGAAACAAAATATAAAAACTACCAATTTAATTTGCCTAATAAACATTACCACTTTTCCTATCTTGATTCCAAGGAAGATCCAAAGCTACCGGTTGGCAAGCTATCAACATGCAACCAAAGACAAGAAAATAAAACAAAAAACAAAATCATAGAGTTGGCTACGAGTTTCATTATAATAATCTAAATCATTTGTATTGTATTTTTAAATTTTCATTATTTAGTATTTTTAGAGTACTACCATACATTATTCATGTTAGAATACTTGCCCAATTATCTCTTACGAAAGAGAATTTTTTTTAAATTAAATTGTAAATTAAATCATTGGTCTTTATAATTTAAGTCAAGTGTCATTTTAGTTATTATAATTTTAATTTTAACATTTTGACCCTTATATTTTAAATTTTGTTACAAGATGGTCCTTCCGTCAAATGTTATTAACAATTGGAATAGAAAAAATTAAGTATAAAATTAGAAAGATCAAAATAAAATTCAAAACAAATTATAAAGACTAATAATATAATAAATATATTACACTGTTGATCTTTATAATTAATTTTAAATTTCATTTTGATCCATCTTTTATTTTATTCATAATATTTTTTTATTTTAAATATAAAAATAAATAAATAAAAAAAGATTGAATGTATATTTAGTTTTGGTTGTAAATTCAAATATATATATATATATGGAAAAATTAGTGAATATCCATCCATGTCCTCTTTTGCGTCCTCCAAATTACCCACCTTTGAAGGTATTGGTACCCAGCTGAGCAATTGGACCAATATGCTGCGCCAAATTGAAGCTCTTCTAGTTGACGCGGAGGAGAAGCAACTGACCGATCGAGCCGTGAACCTGTGGCTCGACGATCTCCAGGATCTGGCATATGATTTGGATGATTTAGTGGATGAGTTCGCCACCGAAGCTTTGCGACAGAGTCTCAAGGCAAAGCCGCCCCAAGCTAGTTCCAGCAAGGTATGGAATCCCATTCCTAATTTCAAGCCAAGAGATGTTGTGTTTAATTTCAAAATGAGGTCCAAGATTGAGGAGATCACTACCAGATTACGCACTAGTTTTGAACAATGTTCGAAACTTAATTTGGTTAAGATTGTTGGAACCACCACACCTACTAAGACTTGGCAAAGACCAGAGTCTACGTCGTTATTAAAAGAACCTCGCGTTTATGGAAGAGAAAAGGATCAAAGAAAGATAATTGAGTTGCTTGTAGGTGGGGGTGAATCAAGTCGTAACAAAGTTGACGTAATTCCCGTTGTGGGTATGGGTGGGATTGGCAAGACCACCCTGGCTCAGATGGTATACAACGATGAAATCGTGAAGAACCATTTCGATCTGAAAGCCTGGGTTTGTGTGTCAGATGAGTTTGACATTCTGAAAATAACAAAAGCAATTTATGATTCAGTCACTTCCCAGACATGTAGTTCTGATAACTTGGATCAAGCTCAAGTTCAACTAAAGCAGGCTTTGGCCGGAAAGAAGTTCTTTATTGTTTTAGATGATGTCTGGAACAAAAAATACAACGACTGGAATGATTTGAACAGCCCTTTCAAGGATGGAGCTCAAGGAAGTAAAGTTGTGGTGACTACACGTAGCAGAGACGTTGCAAGAATGATGGCAACTGTTGAACTTCATGACGTTGAGATCCTATCAGATGAAGATTGTTGGTCATTGTTTGCACAACATGCCTTTGAGAATAGAAGTATTGACGCAAATCCAAATTTGGTATCAATAGGTAAGAAAATTGTGGAGAAATGCAAAGGTTTGCCTTTGGCTGCTAAGACACTCAGTGGCCTTTTACGTTGCAAAGAACGAGATGAGGAATGGGTAGATGTATTGTGTAGTAAAATATGGGATTTATCACACGAAGAAAGTGACATTCTTCCAGCTTTGAGATTAAGTTACCATCATCTCCCTTCGCATTTGAAGCAGTGTTTTGCATACTGTTCAATAATACCCAACGACTATGAATTTGAGGAAGAGGAGATAGTCTTGTTGTGGATGGCAGAGGGTTTCATTATGCAAAAAAGAGAGAAACAAATGGAAGATGTAGGAGCTAGGTCTTTTTTCCAACCATCAAGTACTAGTAAAGGCTCTAAATTTGTGATGCACGACCTCATCAATGATTTGGCTCATGTAGTTGCAAGAGATACTTGTTTTAGATTGGATGATAAATTGAAAGATCAAGAGCAGTACAAGAATCTAAAGAAAGCTCGACATTCATCTTACATGCAAGAGATGCATGAGGGTATGAAAAAATTTGAGATCTTTGAGAAAGCCATGCATTTACGGACCTTCTTACCATTTGGCTCAAAACATAGATGGAATTGTTATTTGGCAAGCAATGCTCCCCTTAATTTATTCCCGAAGCTAAGACGATTGAGGGTGCTCAATATGAGTAGATATTGCATCACGGAAGTTCCAAATTCTGTTGCAGATTTGAAACATCTACGGTATCTTAACCCTTACCATATGGTGTGAATTGTCATTTGGCAAGCAATGTTCCCTTTAATCTATTGCCGAAGCTAAGACGCTTGAGGGTGCTCAATATGAGTAGAGATCGCATCACGGAAGTTCCAAATTCTGTTGCAGATTTGAAACATCTGCGGTATCTTAACCTATCCCACACCTCCATTGAAAAATTACCTGAATCACTAGGCTTTCTTTACAATCTACAAACATTAATGTTAAGAGAATGTGCAAAATTGAAAAAGTTGCCAACAGACTTGGGAAGCCTAATTGACCTACGTCATCTCGATACTACAAATGCACATTCCTTAAAAGAAATGCCACTGGGAATAGGTAAGTTGGTTAGTCTTCAAACACTATCCAATTTCATTGTTACTAAAAACAATGGGGATCAGTTAAGAGAGTTGGGGAACTTAATTTATCTTCGGGGGAAGCTTTGTCTATCTGGGTTACAGAACGTAGTGGTTCCATTAGCTGCAAGGGAGGCGAATTTGAATGATAAGAATGCGTTAGATGTGTTATCAATGGAATGGAGTGTTAACTCAGATGATTCACGAGATGGAAGAGTTGAAACAGAAGTGCTTGACATGCTACAACCTCACAAGAATTTAAAAGAGCTCCATATCAAAGGCTACCTTGGTACAGGATTTTCGACTTGGATAGGAGATGCTCTATTCTCCAATATGACTGACATAAGTTTAGATAATTGTGGAAATTGTGCATCATTGCCACCACTCGGACAACTACCCTCCCTTAAAAAGCTTTACATTACAGGTATGAGTGCACTAAAGCACGTTGGTTGTGAGTTCTACGGGCAAGGTGGTGTTCAACCTTTTCCGTTACTGGAGAGTCTAAGCTTTGAGAATATGCCAGAATGGGAGGATTGGTATACTTTTGGAGATCACAAAGAAGTTCAACCATTCACTCGTGTCAAGTCTCTCTCCATAATAAAATGTCCCAAACTTCTTAAAATGTTGCCTACTGATCTACCTTGTTTGAATAATCTAGAGATTAGGGACTGCCCCAAACTCTGCGGAATGATGCCCAAGGATCTACCTTGTTTGAATAATCTAAACATTTCAGAGTGCCCGCAATTCCTAGTTGAAGGTTCCAGCATTAGCCTTCCGTCACTCACCTCGATAGCTATGAATGACGTTCCTCTAACAAGCCTTGAAGAGGTCCTTAAGATGAGGAGTATGGTAGATAATGAACTGATATCGGCAAATGCAAAGTCTAAGCATCCTAGTTCAATAACTTCCTTGAGCATTGGGATGATTAAGGAACTCGAGCTCTTGCCGAAATGGGTTACTCATACTTTGGTTAGAAACACTCGGGTTGTGCGCCCGATGTTTATACCACTCCCTTGCTTTGGTTAGAAACACTCGGGTTGTGCGCCGATGTTTATACCACTCCTTGCTTTGGTTAGAAACACTCGGGTTGTGCGCCCGATGTTTATACCTCTCTCTGGCTTTGGTTAGAAACATTGGGTCATGTGCTCGATGTTCATACCTTGCTTTGGTTGGCAACATTGGGTCAGGTGCCCGATGTTTATACCACCCTTCCGGTTAGAAGCGTTTGGAACGTGTTTTGATGCTTATACCATTTTGTTTTGGTTAGAAACATTGGGACGTACGCCCAATGTTCGTATCGCCCTCTGGTGTTCGCACCACTCTCTTTTTCCTCTCGCGCGCTGCGAGTTAGGACGTTTTGGTTAAAATCATCTGGACGGACTCCAATGCTTATACCGCTCTTTGCTATGATTGCATAGTAGTTGGATGTGTTTCAGTTGTTATCACTGTTCTCTGTAGTTAGGAACCTTGGGGTGTGTCCCTAGGTTCACACCACCTATTTCCTTGCGGGTGCCACATGTTAAAATCTTGTTCTTTATCTTTCCTATGTGAGGCGCATGCTGCATAATTTTCCGGGCAAGTTCAGTAAATTTCGTCTCATATTCCGCAACAGTCATTGTGCCCTGCTTCAGCTGTTCAAATTCAGTCACTTTTCTATCCCTGACACACTGAGGGAAATACTTTTCAAAAAAGGCTCCTTTGAACTGAGCCCAAGTCATAACTGTATTTTCACTACGGATAAGCATCCACCACCTTCTAGCTTCTTCCTGCAGGGTAAAGGTGGCTAACAGTACCTTGTGTGCTTCAGAGCACGGAAACACCTGTAATAATTTCTCTATTTCGAGCACCCAAGCTTCAACCTTTAGCGGTTCCAGTCCTTCTTGAAAGGATGGCGGTTTCATTTTGCTGAATTTATGGGTGAGAGCAATAATATCCCCATCATTCACATTCGCATTAGGTTCCGGCTGTACCGGAGGAAGAGGAGGTGGGGGCTGTTGGTTCTGTTGTTGTTCAAGTCTAGCAGTTATTAATTCCATCATTCTTTCCATTCTTTCCATTCTTGCCTCGGTAGATGAGGATTCAGGTTCATTTGCATTGTCCATTTCACTATAAGCAGTTATAACAGTTATAGCAATTGTAACATAAACAGTTGCATATTTAAACAGTTATCACATCAACATGTATTCCGTCATAACATAGCCACACCTTTTCAAGTTCATGAAATGCCCTAATCACTTTTCTAGGACACCCTATAGCTCATTTGGACACGTGTGTGTGGTATGACTCGTGATTAAGTATCGCTCTGATACCACTCTGTCACGACCCAAACCCGGCCCTATGGGTTTAATACCGTAACCGGCCAGTAATCCGAGATTACCGAAGGCCTGCAGAACAGTAGTCCAGTAAAACAGAGTACAGGGCCTGGCGAAAGCCAATACAGTAAATAAATAATGTCCATTGAGCTATGACAGTCTGTATGCCAAAAAGATTTTTCATGCATTCATACATACAAACAGTACAGTCTATACAAAATTTACAGTCACACAGTACAGGGACCTAATCCCTTGATAACAGTACAGTTAGTAGCTGACAGTCTATACAGTAATCCAAACAGTATGGAGACAGACGGGGGAAAAACAAAACACCCCAAAGCCATAGCATGGCAACTCGGAACCCCGCAGTGAGGCACAAAGGCTGGCTTGACAAAACTGGAGTCTAACCCACGCTCCTAGCTCCGATCTGGCGGCTGAGCACCTACATATATATATAAACAGTGAGCTAAAGCCCAGTGAATAACATAATGCGTAAAGGGGTTTAGAATGAATGTCCTTACAGTAATGAAAACAGTTCATTAAACAAAGTATTTCAGTTGTTCAGTACAGCAAACAGTCATATGTGGTAGTGACCTTAAACAAATATCAAAATCATGCAAAAATAGAAATTTTATCAGTTATATACTAAGCTTAAAATAACATGCAAGATAGGCTAAAAGCTTGTGCATGCTTCCTTTGTCTTTTATTTTTTCTACCGTTTGTTTGCTATTTCTGGGTTTTTGGTTTCTTAGAGTCCATATGTGCGGATTTGTTAAGCTTGCCCTCATTGTGATTGGGATCTATGATTTATCTCGGACATGCTCTATTGCCGAACTTTTATGATCGGCTCTGCTTCGTTACGGTATGCTAGAGCGTGTCTCCCCAGTTGCCAACCCTACACAGTTCACAGGTTGAACACACACTAAGCTACACAGTTGGGAAATATCATAACTTAATCCCTAATTTGCCTTGGTGTGTTCTACATCTATATCCTTAACAAGATGTCTTAAACTAGGTCTAAGAATGCCTAGAATGAGATGAGGATGCAAAGATGCACTCAAAAAGCAGTTTCAGAAAAACAGAGTCCCGCTCGAGCGCAGGTTTCCCCGCTCGAGCGGACATGCAACAAAGGTACACGCTCGAGCGTCAACTTTCCCGCTTGAGTGTACTGTAAAAGTACTGGATGGGTGAAATCTCCGCTCGACGTCCGCTCGAGCTTGAGACATGACTCCGCTCGAGCGCCCAATCCTCCGCTCGAGCGGACTGCAAAACAGTGCAGAAATACTAGATGCTCAAATTCTACGCTCGAGCGGCACTTCCTCCGCTCGAGCGGAAGTGCAGAATCTGGAAATTCCAGATTGCACCTCCTAGCCAAAAACCAAGTTCAAAAGCATTAAAACCGGCCCTCTTGGGCCCATTTTCTGGAAAACATTTATAGACACATAGAATATAAACATATAGAATATCATGGTTCAAAGCTCAATTTTGAGAAATCAAAGCCCAAGGGTGTTTAATTCAAACTCAATTTCAAACCATTTTTCAAGAATAATATGAACATGCAAACATGCATGAATTCAAATCATTCTGAAGTTCCAATTTGATGCTCTAAGGAGCCAATTGATCTAAAAACAAGTTGAAAACATGGACCTTTACAAAATTATGAACGTGCATGTACAATTTTACCATGAATTCAACTCAAAACTCATCAATTCAAACATGCATGCATGTAATGACCTTCAATTCACCATTGATGAACCAATTCATGACTTAGCTCTACAATAGACATGAACCATGCATGAATCAACTTAAAGACAAATCAAAAAGATGAAATTCATACCTAGGTTCCTTGAATGCAAGTCTAGAGGTTTAATTAAGCAATCTACACTTCGATTAGCAAGCAATTCTCCAAGTTCCAAGCAATTCAAGATGAAATCCAAATTCTCTCACTCTCTCCCTCTCTCCCTCTCATGGTCGGCTAGAGCTCAAACAAGGCTGAGGAAATGTTTGATTTAGGTGTATAATGAGGCTCAAGTATATGTATTGAGTGGGCCATTCATGTGGCAAAATGGTAAATAAATCAAACTATGCGATTGATCAATATTTAATCTAATTTAATCATACCTAACAGTTTTCAGATAATTATACCATAAAATCACATTAATTCTAAGGATCATAGAACACCAACCAATTCCCAGTTCGGCCGCCGATAAGGCCTTCAATTTGCAGTTTAAACGTAAAACACGAACAGATCAAATAATCAATCAAACAGATATGACACAAATTAACATACACACTCAGTCAATTCAGTTCCAGTTTTTCAGTCAGTCAGTTCAGTACTTTAACCAGCCCAATTATCAGTCATAATCAGTTCATTTTAACAGTAATCGATGTTTATCGGTAATCAATCAGTCATTAATCGGTAAACAGTATGCGGGTTGTTACAGTCTCCCCTCCTTATAAAGAGTTTAGTCCTCTAAACTCGAGTTACCTTCATTCTGGAAGAAAACAGGGTTCAGTGGAAACAGTTCAGGATATCTTTTGGCCATGTCATCTTCCCTTTCCCAAGTGGCATACACGCCACCATGGTTCTGCCAGTCAACTTTCACTAGCGGGATCTCTTTGTTTCTCAGTTTCTTGATCCGTCTGTTAACAATCTGTATAGGCCGTTCCTCGTAAGTGTAGTCATCACTCAGCACTATACGAGTAGGCTCAATTACATGGAGGGGATCCCGGAGGTAGTCTCTCAACATCGAAATGTGGAAGACGTTATGCATGTGTTCCATTTCAGGAGGGAGCGCAACTTGATACGCCACCGGATTAATTTTCTCAATAAAAACAGTTCAGTTCAGTATTCAAAAGATAATCAGTTGAACATATCTTTACACAATTGTTACTCACAGAGTTCGGGCTACAGTAAGCTAGAGCGTGTCTCTGCTAGGCCTGATAAACTTCTTATCCAGTAGTCTCTGTTGTATCAGTTTCACTTTCTCAGTTGTTTCATACACAATCTCGGGCCCAAGCAAAGGCCCATCTCCAACTTCTGCCCAGCAAATTGGAGATCTACATTTTCTGCCATACAATGCCTCAAAAGGCGCCATACCAATACTCGAATGGTAGCTGTTGTTGTAGGCGAATTCAGCTAAGGGCAAATGACTTTCCCAGTCTCCCTGACAATCAAGGACGCACATTCTCAGTAAATCCTCCAGAGTTTGGATGGTCCTTTCTGACTGTCCATCTGTCTGAGGATGATAGGCACTACTCAGCCTCAATTCAGTACCCAATGCAGTCTGTAGGCTTTGCCAAAACCTCGATGTAAACTTCGAATCCCTGTCAGAAACAATAGACACGGGCACTCCGTGCAGTCTCACAATTTCATCAATATAGATAACAGCCAATTTGTCCGCATTATAGATTGTCTTGACAGGTAAGAAGTGAGCAGATTTGGTTAGTCTATCAACAATAACCCAAATTGAATCCATACCTTTTTTTGGAGCGAGGTAACCTAACGATAAAATCCATCGTGATGTGCTCCCATTTCCACTCTGGTATAGGTAGGGGTTGCAATAATCCGGCAGGTCGTTGATGTTCAGCTTTGATTTGTTGGCAATGAAGACATTTGGACACAAAGTCGGCAATTTCTTTCTTCATTCCCGACCA